ATTATTATTAGTTGATTAGTTACTAATAGGAATTAAAGAAACAGCTGAGTATAAATCTTATGGAACTCTCCTGTCATTCTTGTTCATCCTCCCGGGTCAGGAAGTTAGTAATTTGCTGACGTCACAATCCTCACGTGTTTTAAGGGTCGAAAGGTCGGTAGATTCTGGATATTTCTTCAGAATGTGCACCTGAAGATGTTTATCGAAATTCCAGTCGTTTGTAAGAAAATGTTTTACAAGCTCCGTTAGTGTCTCATCGTTGTGCTTGACATCATACTGGCGTCCATTGAATCTTTATAATATAATACTAATGATTATAGTGATGATGATGATGATGAAGAACAAGAAGAAAAAGAAGAAAAGGAAGAAGAAGAAGTAAAAGAAGAAGAAGAAAAAGAAGAAGAAAATAAAAGAACAAAAAGAACAAAAAGAACAAAAAGAAGAAGAAAAAGAAGAAGGAAAAGAAAAGGAAGAAGAAGTAACAGAAGAAAAGAAAGAAGAAAAAGAAGAAAAGGAAGAAGAAAATGAAGAAGTAAAAGAAGAAAAGGAAGAAGTAAAAGAAGAAAAAAACAAAAAACAGGAAGAAGAAGAAAAAGAAGAAGAAAAAAGAAAAACAACAAGAAAAAGAAAAGCAAGAAGTAGTAGAAGAGTGAACAGCAATGAATGTTTTCTCTCAGGGAGGACCTGTGACTTGGGCGCCTCTTGGGACTTAACATGATCGGCTCCCTGTACCGCATCAGCAAGTACCTGACTCCTCTTGCTATCCTCTATCTTTACAAGAGCCAGATCAGGCCCAAAATGGAGTACTACTACCATATATAGCCAGCCGGAGACTATAGAAAACTGGGAAGTGAAGACTGCTTCACTTCCCAGTTTTCTATAGTCTCCGCGTCCTTATGGGTGATGAATGTACCAACCTTTCGACCCTTAAAATAAATGAAGATTCTTCCTGACCCGGGAGAATGAACAAGAATGACAGGATAGTTCCATAAGATTTATACTAAGCTGTTTGTTTAATTCCTATTAGTAACTAATCAACTAACAGAAAAATCCAAGATGAACAAGATCACCATATTAAGAACGTTTCGGTTTCATGCCTTCACGCGGGCGGCGTTTTATTCGTTTTGACGCGTTGATTACCATTACAGCTGTGTTTTCATTACAAAACAAGCAACGTTTGTACAAAGACTTTTTTCCCTAAATATGACAGATATAATGTCGAAATATTGTTTAACACTTTTTTTTCTTTTCTTAAATCGCGCTTTTTCTCTTAACTATTGAAAAATATTGGAAGACTTACGTCAATCATTTAACTTATTATTATTATTATTATTATTATTATTATTATTTCCTTGGGTTTCTGTTATATACACATTTCCTTCCGGGTCCCAACCAGAGACCTAAGGTAGGAAATGGCTTCATGACATGCTCCACTGATCAACTAAGATCCCACACATTTTACATGAATAAAGCTCTTCATAATGTTTGAGCTGTACTTGTGAGTACAATTTTTTTGGATTTCTTTAAGGCTACAAGGAATCCTTTCAATGTGTCTATCAGAACCTTTCTCAATCAATCCGAGTGCTCCAACTACTACTGGATCTATTGATGTCCTCATGCACCAAATTTTTTTTTATATTTCCACTTCAAGATTCTTGTATTTTGATAGCTTTTTTTGAAGATTTCAAAGATACATTACAATCAAATGTCATGTCAATAAGAAATTAGATTCTGTCCTTGTTGTCTCTAATCATTATGTCTGGGCGATTAGCTTTAATTGTTCTGTTTGTGTGTATTGTAAACTCCTATGAAATTTCTACAGCTCCTTTTATTATTATTATTTGTGATACAGTTTTTGAATGCATCAGGTAAATGCATTCGCTGGTTCGCAGACGTCATGAGTTCCAGCGCCTTACGAGGCTGGCATCCCGTTCTCACCCCTTCACTGTCGAAACTCCTAAATGTAGCCGTCTCTTCTACTCTAATAGCTTCATGTCTCGCACCTCTCGCCTGTGGAACTCCCTTCCCTATTCCTGTTTCCCTGAGAGCTATAATCTCCAGCTATTCAAGTGTAATGTCAATCGACATCTCCAGTTGCCTTGATCTATCCACTACCCTCATCCTTTCTTCTATCACTCTTATCTGATCTTGCTCTAAATTTTCTGTAACCCCTTGCGTCCTAGTGGCTTCCCGCCTTGCTTGGGGTGAAATGCTTAAAAAAAAAATTGAGACATCTGTCGAGTCACAATAAAGACATGAAAGAGACAACACTATCCTCAAAAGAGCCCGTAATGCCCAAAAGAGCCGATTTTGGATAACACACTACAAGTTGGTATGATATCCCCAGCTTATCAAGTAAGTTTCACAGTTTTACTGGGATCACCTAAAATTTCCCTTCCTGGATTGCCATCTCAACATTCAAATCTGTATAGTTTGTAGTTTTCTTAATCACCTTATTTGCTATTATTATTATTATTGTTGCACCGGCCTCTAACACAAGGGAATTACACCGGTTCTCACTATATGTAGTGCCAGTAATACCTACCCGGTGTAAGCAGCGACAGTACTACAACTGCCTAGCTGAGTAGTACCCGTTTCCTACCTTTGTATTTGTGATCTTAAATACACTTGTTCTTTAAACCAACTTCGACTTGATTTTCTTATTTTTACTATTGTACCACGACACAACATTATTATTATTATTATTATTATTATTATTATTATTATTATTATTATTATTGTGTGTGGTATCATCCAGAGATTAATTTTAAGTGCCTCAAGTCTCCTTCGGGTGTCTGTGAATAAAAAGAGGCGCCGTGCGAGAGTTTTCTATGCACATTTGGGACGTTTCCTTTAGATGGAGAGGGTTCTGCAGATGATGCAGTTCCGCAGAAAGTAATCCTTTATAGCTCTCAGATGCTAATGCATCCAGGAATTGTACTCACATGATTATCGGTCACCCTTCTTTATCATACCCAATGACTTAAGGTTACACGCATTTTACATAGATAAAACCCTCCATAGGATGTGAGCTGTACTTGTGATAACCAACCAGACGTCTAAGGTCAGAAATGGCATCATGACATTTTTGATTTTAGCTTTTAATTCTGCACCGCGCACCCGCTGATATAATAATAATAATAATAATAATAATAATAATAATAATAATGATAATAATAATGATGATAATAATAATAATGATAATAATAATAATGATAATAATAATGATAATAATAATAATGATAATAATAATGATAATAATAATAATGATAATAATAATAATGATAATAATAATAACGATAATAATAATAATAATAATAAAATGATAATAATAATACAAAAAAATTGTTTTCACAATCACAGCCCACACCTTACGAAGGGCTTTATCTATGTAATTTAATTCTTTTTTTTTTTTTTTTTTTTGTCAGTGGAAAGTGTCCTGATGCCATTTCTAACCTTAGGTCCCAAGGCGGGACCCGGAAAGAAATGTGTAAACGCCAGAAATCAACGAAAATAAAAATAATAATAACTATAATAATAATAATAATAATAATAATGATAATAATAATAATGATAATAATAATAATAATGATAATAATAATGATGATAATAATGATGATAATAATAATAATGATAATAATAATAACGATGATGATGATATAATAATAACGATAATAATAATAATAAAGATGATGATGATAATAATAATAATAATGATAATAATAATAATAATGATAATAATAATGATAATAATGATAATAATAATAATGATAATAGTAATGATGATAATTATAATAATGATAATAATAATGATAATAATAATAATAATGATAATGATAATAATAACGATGATGATGATATAATAATAATAATAATAATAATAATAATAATAATAATAATAGTAATTGTTATTATTTGTTGTAACATCTTGCCAGAGATAAATTTTAAGTGGCTAATTATTAAATCCCCTCCGGGTGTCTATGAATAAAAAAGAGTCACTGTGGCTGAGTTATCTATACACATTTGGGATTGTTTCGTTTAGATGAAGACGGGTTTGGTGAATTCTATGTGCAGTTAAGCATATCTTTTATAGATCTGAGATGCTGGTGTGTCCAGGAATTGTAGTCACGGGATTTTCGGTGCTCTTTTTTAACATACCCAAGGCCCAACAAGGATAAATCATAGTTTTATATTCCCACATTTTTGTTTCATTTTTGATTTTTATTATTATTATTTGTGTATGTTTCCTGCTTTGTATCCTGTAGATCCGGGTTCAAACTATGGTCCTTAGGCCCCTATGGGAGATTTGTCATTTAATTGATAGCGCTTTTCTTAGTATATGGGATGTTCCTATTATGGCGATCTGTTATTATTATTAGTAGTAGTAGCAGTAGTAGTTGTTGTTGTGGTGGTGGTGGTGGTGGTGGTGGTGGTGGTGGTATGCTTTACAAGCACCGGGAATAAATCTCTGTCTTGTCTCAAGACGTCAGACGACAAGCACTTCTCGCAGGATTATTTGCTGTGAATCTCATGCCAACAAGATGTTTCTAGAAATTCTTTGGAATCGACACAAGTGTTCCAATGAGAACTGGCACAACCTTGTCATTTACATTTATTATTATTATTAAACGAAACCTATACTAAATATTACTTATGTATCCATTCCAACCTAATAAGCTTTGGTTAATTTATAGGCATTTATTTTGTTCTTCAGTAAAGATTTGGAATTTTTCTTATTGATCCTTACATATGAGAAGATTTTTCTCTCTGGAAATGGTTCATATTAATTTGGAGCTCGAACTGAGGCAGGTGGAATTGTTTAAAGATGGAATTCTAAAATCTCAGATTCTTAACCAAATATGGCGAATTCCTTAACCGATAATTTTTAGGGGTTTGTTTCGAAATTGTTTTTTTATTTATTTATTTATTGCATCAATACATGATATTTACACAAAAGACTGACTTAGAGAATTCACATAGCCATGAACATAAAAGACACCTTATACGCACTCATTGGGTAGATAGATAGATAGATAGATAGATAGATAGATAGATAGATAGATAGATAGATAGATAGAAAGAAAGGCTGGATTAGACTGTTAAACAAGGAAAGAATAAAACCAGGATATATATATATATATATATATATATATATATATATATATATATATATATATATATATGGGTACATTTTACATTTGTGTGTGTGTGTGTGTGTGTGCAAATGTATGTATAGCCAGATAGATAGATAGATAGATAGATAGATTGCTATCCAAAATTTCAAATAACAGCAGCAAATACAGAACCATATTTTTTCTATCAATTTTCTTTGTTGAAGGCATTTCCTTGAACGTTTAGATAGCCCAGAGAAAGAGAGAGAGAGGAAAAAAGAAAGGGTGTAAGTATGTGTGTGTGTGTGTGTGTGTGTGTGTGTGTGTGTGTGTGTGTGTGTGTGTGTGTGTGTGTGTGTGTGTGTGTGAAGAAAATCAGAGGGAAAGAGTGAGAGTAAGAAATAACATTGAGGGAGGAATGAAAGGGTCATAGGATGAGGTGGTCACACAATGATTTGTGGGGTGGGAATCGCATCATAAATTCACATTTTCCCCAATATATCCTTCAACATTCAAATTTCAAAAGTTAACTTTTAATAAAAGCCGGTTGGAACGCAAACATCTGAAACGGATAACTTTTGGTTCTATCCAAGAAAACACACATGCCCTCACACAAAAAACATGTCCGAAAACAAATTGAAAATTTTTTTCGCCATTACATCTCACCAGAAATGCACATTCATGCATCGTCAATTCAACTAAAACGACGGAAGATCACATTAGAGGCCTAGTGGTTAATTCTATTTAAATATCATTCGAGAAAAAATCACCATACGTAAATATTTATGTACAATATGAACTAACTGGTTCCATTTTGACCGAACCGCAAAATGTGATGACGTCACTGAGATATGCCATCTACGTCACACAAACTGATATAAACGTTATTTTCGCATTTGGTTTGTCCATGAATGTTTATCCTTTTATTATTCCTTTATTGTAACCAAAAATATGAAAGGTGTAATGTATGTATGTATGTATATATGTATGTATGCATGTATGTATATATGTATGTATGTATACCTTCATAGATAGATAGATAGATAGATAATGAACATACTGAGATAGATAGAAAGAGCGAGAGAGAGATGAACAGACTGAGATAGATAGATAGATAGATAGATAGATAGATAGATAGATAGATAGATAGATAGATATGAATCTTTCCCTTTCTGAAAAGTGGACAAGGATTTACCTTAAATTCAATTTATTTTGTTTCCATCTATCTATCTCTCTATCTATCTCAGTATGTTCATATCTATCTCTCTTTCTCTATCTCTCTCTCTCTCTATCTATCTCATTCTGTTCCTATCTATCTATCGATCGATCGATCGATCTCACTCTGTTCTTATCTATCTATCAATCTATATCATTCTCTCCTTATCTATCTATCTATCTATCTATCTATCTATTCTAATCATCGCTTTTTGAACAATAAACATTGCTGATGAGTGAAGGTAGTTAAAATAATAGCGTGGTCATGGAAAAAACGTTTTTTTGACACTCAGGTTTTTTTTACGGTCACAAAGGTCCATGTTTGCCTCTGCGGTTTTAAAATATGTGACGTCATCCAGTTTGCAGCCATATTGTATTTTTTTTTTGTTTTACAGAATCCATTTTTCAAAGACACTTTTGCACAAAAAATACACAGACAGTTTAACAGTCAAACACTTTTAGAAAAAAAAAATAAAAAAAATTCAGTTCACTTTGTCGTTTTTTTGTTTGTTTTTTTTTTTTTAATCTCAATTGTTTTTTATCGCTTCATTTTACACATTTTCAAAATCTAAATAAATATTTTACTTAATATAATCAAGAATCCCGACGCTACATCATCTTCCGAAAATGTTTTCAATCTAAATTATTGCTGTCGGACTAAACTTACAGAAATACTTTTTTTTACAAACAGAAATTAAAAAATACTGGTTTAAAAATTTAAAAATTCAAATTTTTGTCTGGATAAATTTAAACTCTCTAATTCCATCAGAAAAGCTATAAAAAGCGGTAGAGTTTTTAAAAAACACGAGAATGTTTAAATTTAAATCGTTTAAGTTTTTAACTAGATATATTTATTCTAAAACGATAAATTATCCTACCTCTGTCCCATAATATTTGTTACATTTTGTGTATGAAATATACATTCAAGTGTATCAATCATTATGGGACAAAGAGAGTAATCCTTCCTACCTCTGTCCCATAATATTTGTCACATTTTGTGTATGAGATATACATGCAAGTGTATCAATCATTATGGAACAAAAATCGTAATCTTTCCTACCTCTGTCCCTTAATATTTGCTACATTTTATGTATGAGATATACATTCAAGTGTATCAATCATAATGGGACAAAGAGAGTAATCCTTCCTACCTTTGTCCCATAATATTTGTTACATTTTGTGTATGAGATATACATGCAAGTGTATCAATCATTATGGGACAAAAATCGTAATCTTTCCTACCTCTGTCCCTTAATATTTGTTACATTTTATGTATGAGATATACATGCAAGTGTATCAATCATTATGGGACAAAAATAGTAATCCTTCCTACCTCTGTTCCATAATATTTGTTACATTTTGTGTATGAGATATACATGCAAGTGTATCAATCATTATGGGACAAAAGTAGTAATCTTTCCTACCCCTGTCCCATAATATTTGTTACATTTTATGTATGAGATATACATGCAAGTGTATCAATCATTATGGGACAGATGTGATAATTTATAATTTGTTATTAATCATTTTCTGGAACTATTTTTAGATTTTATTTATTTTTTCAGATAATTTTTTTTCTTTTGGAATTTTCTTTTTTAATTAATTTTCGGCGACTAATTTTAAGAATGTTTCTCTCGACAAACAATGAATAAAATTCACAAGAAGATAAATTTCCTTGGCATTTCAATGGATATGTTATATTTTTTCGTGACTTTTTTTTTTTTTTTTTTTTTTTTTTTTTTTTTTTTTTTTTTGAACGTTTTTGGTGCCCAGGAGAAATTATTTTACAAACTTCAGAGTCCCTTGTCGTCATTTCAATTTATAATCAGACCTCATTTTTATGATGTTCTACTTTCTAGGCAGAATTTTCCAGAAAAAAATGTGGGAAATTAATAATCCGACTAGACATTAGTTTCAAAAGAGAAGCCCCCAACAGTTCAACCAGTGCATACCTTGCCTTCATTCGGTGCATTTGATTAAAGCATGCCTACAATATATAAATCTCAATATTTGTGTGTGTGTCCGCTTGAAAACATTTTATAAATAAAAAAAAAATAGTTACATGATGTGTCCGTGCTCAACTATTACGTTAAACTATGACATCGGATAAATAGTTTTATTCATTCATTTCTAGCAGCATGTGTCTTATATCTTGCCCAAATTTATTTATTCATATCTAGCAGTATGTGTTTTATATCTTGCCCAACATTATTTATTCATATCTAGCAGTATGTGTCTTATACCTTGCCCAACTTTATTTATTCATATCTAGCAGCGTGTGTCTTATACCTTGCCCAACTTTATTTATTCATATCTAGCAGTATGTGTCTTATACCTTGCCCAACTTTATTTATTCATATCTAGCAGCGTGTGTCTTATACCTTGCCCAACTTTATTTATTCATATCTATCAGCATATGTCTTATATCTTGCCCAACTTTAATTATTCATATCTAGCAGTATGTGTCTTATATCTTGCCCAACTTCTTTCTTAATGTAGACATTGCATATTCATCTTTGAAAATGAAATTTTCAAAATAACTGTGATTTCTTTTTGATTTCTAAATTTGATTTTCACAATCTTTTATAATTAGAACGCACTACTTAAATTAAGTGGTCCACCAGTTTAAAAAAATTGGTGGAGTTATTTTTTAATAATTTTTGTTGATTAGCATTAAATATACCTTCCTCGTGTTCTATCAGATGTCAGAATCGGACAATATGGATTTTAATCATTAAAAAATGGGGTCCTATTCATAATCTAAATACAGTATCAAATCTATCCCTGATTTTATTTACAAATGTCAAGTATGACACTTTTTTACCTCATAGATAAATGCGTACTACTGACTTATTCAAATTCTTAACAGTACGCATTTATCGATGACGTAAACACATTTTACATTTGTACATAAAAACAAAGTACACATAACTCTTTAAAAAATAAAGAATCGATTTGACACTATATTTTTATTATAAACAGGTTATCCCTGCTGAAATGATAAAAAAAAAACAATATTTTTCTATTTTGACAAATGCCGTGGCTTGAGAAAAGTCCAATGAATGATAATTTACAAAAATTATTTGAGAAAATATTCGACATTACTTTTTCTTTTTCTTTTTCTCTTTTAACGAACATCCCACTCAATTTAAATAATGCCATTCAGGTTATTATTTGGGCAGTGGCTCCTTAAAAGTTAAATTCTTTAGTTATTTAAATCTTGTTATGTATGCTCTGAAAGTGGTAACCACGTTAGCATTTAGATCACAGCTTGGAAGTCAAGGGGATTAAACATTGCATAAAGGGCAGTAAATAATGTTGATATATATATTTCTTTTATATTTAACTTAGCCGTGAATGACAACCAAAATATAGAAACCTATTGAACTGTTTTAATCGTGACAATTTTACTAAAACGATTTTACGGCATCGACAAATCTATCAAATACAGGAACGATCCTGTAGCGCCGTGAAGCAAACGAAAAAGATTTTGCCCAGGTAACGTCAGTTATCCTTGCTAGTCATATATTTTATTGAAATATTTTTTTGGCGGACAGTGTCTTTTTTCGTGTGTTTGAGTTTACCAACACAATGTTTTGGCCGATTCATTCTATGGCCTTCATCCAATGTACTTTCTGTATTTTTTTTTTTTTTTACCGTTTTTGTTTTAATTACACTTGCAACTTGTTCAGTCCATACGGAGAAAGTCTTGATTTTTTTTCCTTTGTATAATACGTGTTGAAAGACGTATTTTCGACTTACAGGCATTTGGAAAATGAAAGAAAACAAATACTTGTAAAATCGGGTCATTAAAATCCATCAAATCTACAGAGGTCTGGCTCCGAATCATCGTGACCGTTTCAGTAGTTGCATAGTAAGCGCATTGGTTTTAACTTCAAAGTTGTTTTTTTCTCCTAGACTGATACCAACCAAGGCTGAAAACTGATCTACAATTTAATCCATAGTTGAGGAGATGGGTCCATACCTTTCACCGAGTTCGAAATCCAGTCGAGTTTTTTTTTACATCCACCTTCGCTCAAATATCATTGAAAAAGATATGATAAATCCATCTCCCCTTCCCCCAGGTATGGGTTAAAAAGTAAAGCAGACTAGGCCAACCAGTTTGGGAGGACAACTCTTGATTTAAAAGACGTGTCCTGGCATAAAAAAAAAGATTGTATACCATCGGTGAAATCGTGAAGTTCACGTTTGTGAACGTATAATAATAAATAAGAAACTAAAAAATAATCGATAATAGAATCGTTAAGACAAAATCTGTTTGCTGAGGAAGGCCATAGAATGGAATGGCTGAAACCTGATTTTGGCAAGATCACATTAAACGAAAAACCTTATAGACGATACCCTATTTATCGGTCAAACCTATAACGTATAAACGTTTACGCTGTACTCAGCGAAGCCCAAAGATGTCACCTGGTGAAGGTCGGAGATCTGCCGATCGAAAAGTTGAGGACCTCTGCTTGAAGTGTGGCACCGAGTACAAACCAGAATTTGCTACAATATTCGATATTCTGTTGTAACTAGTCGATATCTAATCACAGATTTTATTGGGACGAAAGAGAGATAGACAAATAGAAAGAGGGAGAGGCAGATAGAAAGAGAGAGGGGGGAAAGAGAAAAAGAAAGAAAGGAGAGAAAATGGGAGATAAGTTGGCTTATTGGAGTGACCGATGACCATTTAATCAGGGACCGTACGATTGGTCCATCCAGTTGTCCGGCTGTTGCTGATACATGCCAGTGTTGGCCCGAGGGGGTGCGTCCATCATAATCCTCTGCCCTCCGCCGCCTCCGCCACTTCCTCCATATTGGTAATTCTACAAAGAAAAATGTAAAAAAAAAAATTAATGTTTGTCATAGAGTAAGCTAACCTCGGTGTGTTGATTGATTTGTTTTTTACGGTTTATCAACCCTTTGCAGGTTATTTAAAGCCAGAAAATATATTTAGATTGTAAGATTTGTTTTAGATAATAATAGGAGAAATGGTGGAGAAGAGTGGATACATGCCTAATCAGAGTTAGATAAACAAGAAATTATAATGAGTATATAAAGTGGGGGATCAATTCTATATTACAATCAATATTTAAAATGATCCCTCATTTTGTGGCCGTGGTGGTTTCTGTATATTTATATTCCAAAGAAGGTAAATAAATCTAAAAGACTTTACAGTGTAGCTAATCAGTATTTCATTCATTGATTGATTCGTTTTTATGGGTTATCAACCCTTTGCAGGTTATTTAAAGCCAGAAAATGTTTTTAGATAGTAAGAATTTTTTTAGATAATAATAGGAGAAATGGTGGAGAAGAGTGGATACATGCTTAATCCGAGTAAGATAAACAAACAAGAAATTATAATGTGGATATGAAGTGGGGGATCAATTATATTGATTTTTTTCCAAGCATAGCTTAGATGTAGTACATGGCCGAAAGTAGGGGACACACAGTGAGAATCGAAAACTCACTACTAAGTCGTAATTGTTCTAGCGAGACAAGCTTGTTAACCATTACACCACCTCATTACAATCACTATATAAAATGATCCCTCACTTTGTAGCCACGCTAGTTTCTATACGTTTATTTATTCCGGAATGTAAATAAATCTGAAAGATATGCTTGTGTAGCTAATCAGTATTGATTGATTCGTTTTTACGGCTTATCAACCCTTTGCAGGTTATTTAAAGCCAGAAAATATTTTTACAGCGTAAGAATTTTTTTTTTAAATTAATAATGGTTTAGTGAAACACAACTTACTAATTAACCCATATCTGGTGGATTCATACCTAATCAGAATTTGATAAACAAGAAATTATAATGAGTATATTACAATCAATATATAAAATGATCCCTCATATTGTGGCCGTGGTGGTTTCCATATATTTATATTCCAAAGACGGTAAATAAATCTAAAAGACTTTCCTGTGTAGCTAATCCATGGTTACAGATAAATCTACTTCAACTGGACAAGGGGTGTCTGGGTTGTCCAGTTGAAGTAGATTTATCTGTAACCATGGAAACGTGATTTTAGCTGTGTCTTTAAAACCCAGTAATTTTAAAAGTTACTCCAAAATTCGCTTGAGGATGAAATGGAACTAATGTCTTTAATTTAATTGCAAAATTAAATTCGTGGCTTTTAGCTTCCATTTTTGAAACATGGTTAGAACTGTGAAGCGGAAAAAACCATATTTTAAATCAATTAATCTATAATATATATATATATATATATATATATATATATATATATATATATATATAATGAGGAAATATGCATCTAAAATCTAAAGAAAACATAAATTGTGTGTCTATTAAACTTATTAATCATTTTCTTTAATATGTGAATAACTTTTCGCAAATATGGCTGCTGTAGATGTAAAAAAAAAAACTGTTTATTCTTTCTAATAAGAAATGCTTACACGAACATCTGCCACCAGAATGCACCGAATAAAAATGGATGAATCCAGGAAGAAAAAATGGGTATTTTATTAAGAGCCCTCGAGAAAAATAAAACATAGAAAAATTTCCGGCCACCCGCCACTTATTAAGACATCCCCTTGCACTTGAAAATAGACTACAATAATAGATTTTACAGCAGACGTTTTTAATAAGAGTGATAAAAAGTTAATTTTAAAATGAAGAATGAATTTGAAGAGATTAAAAAACGAAAACAATCTACTTAAGTTGAATTTCACTCGTCACATAATTTCATTTTCCCATCTCTAAGACTAACTGTGAGAATATATATATATATATATATATATATATATATATATATATATATTCCGTTTTAAACAACATATTGGGGAATGCTTAATGTCTTTCCATTTTTAGCCGTGGTGTCCGTGGGTGTCTGCAAACAAACAAAAAAATCTCTAAAAATTTCATTTCTGTTTTGTATTTAGCCATTTGTGTCTACGTCCTCTCATTTCCGGTTAAAAAAAAAAGTTAATTTTAAAATAAAGAATGAATTCGAAGACGTTAAAAAAAAAAAAAAAAAAAAAAACTACTTAAGTTGAATTTCACTCATCATATAATTTCATTTTGCCATCTCTGAGACTAACTGCGAGAATAAACCTATTATATATATATATATATATATATATATATAATATTAGTGGTAAATATACACATACATATGCAAAATATATAAATATATATACATAGGTGCATACACATACATGTATATTTATTTAATAAAAAATTCCAAGAGGATAGAATCCAGGTAGACATTCTCTCTAAATTCTATTTTTATTTCCGGAGTGGTTTTTTTCTGTTTTCTTTTTGAATTTGTAGATCTGATGTATTGGATCGTATTTACGATTCCAATGGAATAAATTATGACCATGGAATATTAGTGTTTAAGCCTTTTTTTATATATATATATATATATATATATATATATATATATATATATATATATATGAACGTTTTATTCATTTTAGTAAATGTATTTGCATTAATAAGTCCAGGAAAATACTTTCCTATGGACGAAATGATCATCTGTAAGAGGTAAATCGTTTGGATCTAATTAATTCTAATTCACACACACACACACACACACACACACACACACACATATATATATATATATATATATATATATATATATATATATATATATATATATAAAAATATATATATATTATATATAAAAAATATATATATATATATATATATATATATATATATATATATATATTTGTATGGATATGAGTTTTTGACCTTGGGTTCTACACTTCTGCGATCATCAGAAAAAAAACTGGTTTATTTTTTAAAATTGGATCTATTTATACTTGTTTGACAATGTTTATTGTAGGATCGGGAAATTTACTTCTGTGTTTATTTGGAATGACTCTCTCATACGCATAGACACACATACATACAGGTGTACCCATTTTGATTCACACAAACACATCCATATAAACAAACGGAGACGAGACGCAGATACATATCCATAGTTTCGGGGATACATCCAAATGCAGTCGTAATTCTATTTTGGTGTCAGGACCTTAGCTTTTTATGTGTAGCGATGTTCGTTTCAACAAGTAGCGGATAGGGGTGTTTTTGACATTTTTCAGATCTATGCCCAGTACCGTCAAAGAAACCTATATATATATATATATATAAGAAATGGACAAAAGTCCGCCGACAATTTATTTATACGTTCTTTCTTTTTTTATAGATACAAATTTAAGTAAATGCTCTGTTTATAATAAACAGTATTAAATAACATTTCCTGAAGAAATTTTCATAGAAAATATTCGTCCTTTGATAGGATTCGAACCGGCATCCTATACGGAACCGTCATTTACTGCTTATACGCCAGAGCAGTTATGAAACTCGAGATTCATGGAAGATCGTTTAGTTGGCAAATTCGACTTTACTGGCTTAGAGGTTAGGCACGTCATGAAAATGACGGATTCGTGGAGGATGCAAGTTCGAAAGCTGTAAAGGACGACTTTTTCTATGAAAGGCGTCGGACATTCAGTTCGGTAAATGTTATTTAATACTGTTTATTATAAACAGAGCATTTACTTAAATACTTGTATCTATAAAAAAAACGTTAAACATAAAAATGTCTTTAATAAATATATATATATATATATATATATATATATAGTGATAATAAGAAGGCGGAGACTTTAATTATCCATTTCGATTATATATTTCGAGATTGGAATCGACCTTATTTGTCCTGCCTAAATACAACAAACCGCATCGGTCTATCTAAAATACAACGCAATTTAAAAATCTCAAATTCATAGAATAAATTCTCGGCTGGGTGAGCCGACTACTACCAACCACTAATCCCTTAGCACTTTCTTTTCCAAACTCATCTCTTCTCTCTCTCCTTCCCTCTTCACTACCAATCTAATGTGTCCGTCCGGTATATTATCTCCGTTTACGGGGGAGATTTCGATCTGAAGAGTTGAACACCTCGCTGTTCACGAAATAAATTTTTAATCGAAATGGATAATTAAAGTCTTGTTATTATCATTATAATGCTCTGTAGTCTACATTGAGCTCTCTCTGGATTTATATCCTCCTCGGAATTAACCTTTCCAGCCTCAAACTGGTAAGACATATATATATATATATATATATATATATATATATATATGTATGTATATATTAAGACATTTTTATGTTTACACATTCTTTTTATAGATAAAAATATTTAAGTAAATGCTCTGTTTTTATAATAATAATTTATAATAAACAGTATTAAGAACACTTACCGGCCTGAATGTCCGATAAATTTTCATAGAAAATATTCGTCTTCCGACAGGAATCGAACCTCTATCCTATACGGAACCGTCATATAGCCTGACGTGCCTTAACCGATCAAGCCACAGAAATCTTTCGATTTGCAAGGTCGATATTACTGTTTTTAAACTTCAATCTTCCATGAGACAATTCCTGTTGGAGGACGAATATTTTCTATGAAAATTTCTCGGACATCCAGGACGGTAAATGTTATTAATACTGTTTATTATAAAAACAGAGCATTTACTTAAGTATTTGTATCTATAAAAAGAATATATAAACATAAAAATGTTTTAAAATAACTGTCGGCGGACTTTGTCCATTTCATAATATACACACACACACACACATATATATATATATATATATATATATATATATATATATATATATATTTATACACGTTTCATTAAATAATATAGACAAGTGTTGTCTATTTATTTTATGTAAATTTTTCGTAACATCTGATAAGTTTAATAACATTATCGTTGAACGAAGAAAGAAATTCACAATACTGATCCATATTTTTTTAATATAATCTAAGCTTTCAGCTTACTTAAGCCATTATCACAGATGTCAATTACAAAATATTAAACGATATAAGGACACGACAGTGATGATAGTCTGTCATTGTTAAGTTTACATAGATAATCTCTAAGCAACGATAAACACGCGCATATAGACGCTAGAGGTGAAAATCGCACCGCATCTCAAGACGTCACACATGACCACACGAGAGTGAATTGGAGAAAGAAGTATGGAAACCCGTTGGTATAAACCAATTATAGACATTTAAGAATATTTGTAGACATGCCATAACTAATTTTGTTTAGGTTGGGTTTTAACTGTTTGATGTATAATGCTTCAAGTATTTTTAGTTTTTGTCTATTGTTTTCATGTCGAAGTATAGTTGTGTTTTCGACAAGGATTTTACGGAATTGTGTGTGTCGGCATATATCCATTTTATATATATCCGTGAAATGTTTAATGTCTTTCCTTTTTTTTTAGCCTGGTGTCCGTGGTGTCCGTGGGTGTCTACAAATAAAAATCTTTAAAAATTTCACTTCTATTTTCTGAGAAATCCCTCAGTTAAAAAAAAAAGACTTTTAAAATTTTTTCATACCCCCTTTTTTGTTTCCAAATATCATGTCCCCTCAAGGATCTGTGAGTGGTGTAATGGGAAATGGATCGGAATTGTTCATCGGGAAGTTCCAATTTCAGTCAGATTCGTTGTATATATATATATATATATATATTAAGAAATGGACAAAGTCCGACAATTTATTTATTGAAGACATTTTTATGTTTAACGTTCTTTTTTATAGATACAAGTATTTAAGTAAATGCTCTGTTTATAATAAACAGTATTAAATAACATTTACCGGCCTGAATGTCCGAGAAATTTTCATAGAAAATATTCGTCCTCCAACAGGAATTGTCTCATGGAAGATTAAAGTTTAAAAACAGTAATATCGACCTTGCTAATCGAACCTGCATCCTATACGGAACGGTCATTTACGCTGACGTGCCTTACCGGTCGGCCACAAAGGAGCGTTCGGTAGGCAAGGTCGAATTTACTTCTTATAAACTTCAATCTTCCATGAATCTCGTACATTCATAACTGCTCTGGCGTATAAGCAGTAAATTGACCTAGCCTACCGAACGCTCCTTTGTGGCCGAGAGGTTAGGCACGTCAGCGTAAATGACGGTTTCGTATAGGATGCAGGTTCGAATCCTGTCAAAGGACGAATATTTTCTATGAAAATTTCTCGGACATTCAGGCCGGTAAATGTTATTTAATACTGTTTATTATAAACAGAGCATTTACTTAAATACTTGTATCTATAAAAAAGAACGTTAAACATAAAAATGTCTTTAATAAATATATATATATTTTAATAAAAACAGACCACTTTAAGGTTCCATGTAATAAATTACAGATTACCTAGTTTTTCATAAACTAACTATATATATATATATATTTTATGAACCCCCAAAATAACACTTTCAAAGTAAAGCAAAATAACAGCGTCTGTTTCTAGCTTTTTTTTTACAAAGAAAATTAGTGACATCTTCTCTTCTCTCTTAACTTCCTTCTCTCTTTTTCTCTCTATGGTTTTTCTTCTCTACCCCTTCGATATCAATATAAAACTTCCGTTAAGTTAACTGTTTAAATCTGTCAATATCTGCTAACTCACTCATGTCTTCTCTCTCCCCTCTCACTTCCTCACTTTGTTAATTTACATATGTTTAATACGGCCCGTAAAAATTGTGTAAATTTTCTTTTCATTTTTTGTTTGGAAGTAAAGTCTGATGATCCGAAGTCCTTTTAAAAGGGCTGTGGTGAAATAATTTATTACATGGAACCTTGAAGTGGTCTGTTTTATTTAAATTATTTGCTCTGGATTTACATTGAGCTCTCTGGATTTTATCCTCCTTAGGTTTACCCATACGGATTACCTAGTTTTTCTTAAACTATATATATAAATGTCTGACGATCGCTAAAGCGTGAAACCCAGGGTCACAAACTCACATCTATCCAACCAAATATGTTAGCTCTATCTCTGATATTGAGCGCTTTCTAATAAGTACCGCGCATATAATATATAAATAATTATACATATATATATTTATTTATATTTATATACACACACTTTTCACACAGCGTATGTAAATATAAATATAAAAGTGAACATTGAAGTGAACACTCAGAGGCGACAGGCTGTTTTATGCTGGACGCTTATATAGATATTATATTGGCGCGTTCCAAAACCAATAACTCTTTTTCGATAGCATTTTCGGATACAACAACACATATATTTTCGTTGTCCTCTTATTACTAAGAGAAAAAAACAAAAAAACAACATCTCTATTCTATACCTAAAGATGTCTGTAGGAACAGACGAAAGCTTGTAGTAAAAATAACAACTAATACGGCAGAAATTTATATAAACAAGGATCAATTCATTCATAACGGATCTGGAGGTTTTTGTATACTATTTGAATTGTTTGCGATGATGGATGTCTCGCCATTTAAATCATTAACCTTTGCATTAGTTTTGTGTGAATAATTCATGTATTTGTAAATTGATTGCACGTTTATTGTATATATATATATATATATATATATATATATATATATATATATATATATATATATATATATATATCCCAAGTACGGTACGGTCCACTGAGAACCCTACTTGGGGATTCATGGCGAGACCACATATCTAACAAAGCGATCATGCAGTGATCAGATCAAACTAATCTGCAAGACAAAATCACAGGTCACAGAAGTTCAAGATGGTTGACTATTGGGCTGCGGATGCAGACGACAAGACCATTGAGGACTTCTTTCGATTGGAATCAGGACGAGAGGCATATTGGGATGGGCAGACCATTCATGGTCTAGCTGAAAACAAATTCAAATCACAAGGCCGTTCTGATAACAAACAACTATTTATTATTAGCAAGTATACAGTAAGCCCCTGCTTATTCGCGTTTCAGAATTCGCGGCTTCACACATTCGCGGATTTTTCTTTAGGACATATGTACTTGTTATTCGCGGAAACTCCGAATATTAGCGTGTTTTTTTTTTTTTCTGAAAACATGTTATTTTAATTTAAGCGACTTAAAACATATAACAGTCCATTTTTATCGTAAAAATTGGCAGAATTGTACATCTTCATTGTAAAGAAACAAACGCAAAAACATTCGTAGTGTTTGGGCTTTGTTCTTTGTTAGAGGCTACAGCTGGGGTCTTAAAAGTGGTTTATGCCAAGTCTGGGGACATCAACACAGTTCTGTTTTTAGAAAATGTTTTAAAAACTTTATATTTTATGTCTTGTTACACATATTTTATACAGTATTTTCAATGGTTGTATCGATCTATGCGTAATTAAAACGGTTGTTGTATGTATGAAAGAAAATTTACTCTAAGTGTATGGTCACCAATACTATTTTTCAAAATGTTTTAAAAAAGGGTCTGAAATGTTTCTAAAGTGTTTAAGATGAAAGTCTAAAGCATATGGGGTTTTAACAATCAAAATAAGCGCTTTTAGGGGTTTACAAGTATCCGCGGATTATATTCACGGCCTGTTCTGGTCCTTAACCCCCGCGAATACGGGGGGATCACTACACAACTTTCTGTTTGTACGTGGAGCAAACGCCAGACTCTCCTTTACTTTGGGCCCTTCTAAAAGAAACGGTCAGTCTATCGACTTGTTTCGCTTCTGTTTTTTATTTATTTTATTATTTTTCTTTCGTCTGTCTGGTGGAAAGTAGCGACAGACATTTCTTCAGATAAATTCTCTTGACAAAAGCCAGATCCCTTGAGTGGCTAGCTTTAGAAGAACCCATTAATATACTGTATAGTTAGGGAGTTCTAGTATCCTATAAGACTTAACTTTATGTGAAGAAAGTCTTAATTCATCTTGAAAATTTGAATGAAAAGTTCTTTGAATTTTCAGTTTATTTATTTTTGGAGATAAGAAGTTTTGAATAGGGGATAAGAAAATAGTAGAGAGAAACAAGAATGATGAAAAAGAGAGTTCCCATATCTAAACTTTGTCTACATAGAGGAAAGTTCCTCAGAACAATTACCATGAAAGTATTTATAGAAAAAGCAGAGGGAAGCTACATTACAGCCATGAGAAATTGACTGCCATATTAGGAGCAGTAACATTGCAGATTCGTCTTTGGATTTTATGAGGAACAAGGTGTGTTATATGAATGAAAGAGGAGGCGGTCGGAAGTGGAGATTATGAGGATAAAGAGGACAGATAACGACTAAATGTTGTTTTAATTGACTCAGTAATAATAAAAACATGGAGTCCGACTTACATTGGTAAATGGGTTTCCTCCTCCATAGCGTCGGCCATATTGTTCTTGAGGGATCTCAGGATTTTGATATCTTTGGCTACTGCTTGTTGTAAAAGGATTGCCGCCAACAGGTTGAGGATCTTGTTGGTAGGTGGCTAAATTAAATAGAAAACATGCGATAGAATGATCATTTGGTAAGAAGAAGAATGGTCCGTGCGCGGTATACAAAAGTAAAACTGATGAATTTAAGGAACTGCTAAAAGATAATAAAAGCCTAATAACTTTTTTATTTAATTATTTTAACTAATGACATTATCACACATTGCATTCATCATTACCATAAACTTAAATATTTTTTAGTGTGGTGTCCATATTTTTTTTAATGTGGTGTCTATATTTTTTAATGTAGTGTCCATATTTTTTTAATATTGTGTCCATATCTTTTTTTAATGTGGCGTCCATATTTTTAATGTGGTGTCCATATTTTTTTAATGTTGTGTTCATATCTTTTTTTAATGTGGCGTACATATTTTTAATGTGGTGTCCATATTTTTTAATTTAGTGTCCATATTTTTTTAACGTGGTGTCCAAATCTTTTTTAATGTGATGTCTATACTTTTTTTAATCTGGTGTCCATATAAAAAACGACAATAATAATAATAGTAGTCTAAATATGTTCTTAGTGTTGTGTCCATATTTTTTTTAATGTGGCGTCCATATTTTTTTGAATATGGTGTCCATATTTTTTTTAAAGTGGCGTCAATATTTATATGGATTTTAAATTTAATTTTAAAATTAAATTTTAAATTTTAGTTTCTGTTTTGAAACATGGTAATTCTTGTGTAGTGATGAAACCATATTTTTAAAATAGAAAAATATATATATATATATATATATATATATATATATATATATATATATAATCATTTAACCCCAAACAAGGCGGTAATGTCAATAATACACGTGGGCGGGGGTACATGAAGTGAAAGAGAATGAGAAGACTCTAGTGCGGGGGATTTTCAAATATGATGAAACTGTCGACCATATTATCTCAGGATATCCGGAACTAGCAAAAAAATGAATATACTCACAGACATAACAAGGTAGCGACATATGTGCACTAAAAGATATGCAAGAAGCACAAAATCGAAACCACTGAGAGATGGTATGAGTTCCAATCAGACACAGTTACCCAAAATAACGATGTAACTATCCTCTGGGACATGCTAATTCAAACTGACAGGGAAATAAAAGCCAAAAGACCTGATATTATCGTAAAAGACAAGAAATTTAGGAAGTGTTTGCTTATTGACATAGCAGCACGATTTAAGAGAAAAAACCTCCATAAAAATTATGGAGAAATTGTCCAAATACAAGGACCTGGAGATCAAGATTAACAGGATGTGGGCAATGAAGACTGAAACTGTACCAATAGTAATCGGAGCACTGGGCCTCGTGAGAAAAGGAATGACAATTTTATTAAAAGTGTTCCAGGTAACATCAACATACAAGTTGCCCAGAACATCGCCCTACTAAGAACATCCCATATACTAAACAGGAAACATAACATGCACAAATAATCATAATAATAATAATAATAATAATAATAATAATAATTGCTCAGAAGGACGCCCTACTAGAAAGATGCCATATACTAAGAAAAGTGCTATCAATTAAATGACAATTCTCCTACAGGGCCTAAGGACCATAGTTTGGACCCGGATCTACAGGATACAAAGCAGGAAACATAACATGGATTAATAATACTAACAATAATAATAATAAAAGAATGTACATTACAAGGTTTCTTTCCAATTCTTATTGGAGGACTTGTGTCGATTCCAAAGAATTTCTAGAAACATCTTGTTGGCACCAGATTCGCAGCAAATAATCTTGCTAAAAGTGCTTGTCGTTTGACGTCTTGAGACTTGGCAGAGAGTTATTCCCCGTGTTTATAAAACATACCAGTAATAATAATAATAATAATAATAATAATAATAATAACAGTTGCCCAGTAGATCGCCTTGCTAGGAACATACTATATACTTAGAAAAGTGCTATCAATTAGATGACAATTCTCTTATAGGGCCTAAGGACCATAATTTGAACCCGGCTCGACAGGATACAAAGCAGGAGACATAACGTACGCTGATGATGATGATGATGATGATGATGATGATGATGATGATGATGATGATATTAAGAAGAAGAAGAAGAAGAAGAAGAAGTAAACTGATTTTGACATTAAATAACGCAACATGAGTTGTCGTATAAAATCCTGCAAACAAACCCAAAGCCTAATCTGTTTCGAAATCGTTTTTATCAAAATATCTGTTACGAAAGCGACTTGCCGTTTTTATGAAGAACTGGATTCCAGAAAGATTAGTCTCAAAGAATCGAATCCAATCCGAAAAATTCTTAATCTTGATGAGATCAATGTCAATCAAATATCGAATTGGAATTAAAAACTGTTTTTTGATATCTCCATTACAGCAGGAAATGATTTTAAAATTGTTTGCTGATCTTATATATAAGATAAATTAATATTTACATTCCCCGCTTATGTGTAATTTTAGTTAGCACTTTAGCCTAGAAGAAGTAACACTCAACTATTTATCTCCCGCACTGAAGAGTTCGAATGTATTTTTTGAGTCTTACTTCTTTTTAAATAATGCTTAATTAGAAAATGATCGAATAATATTAGCCATAAAGAAATCAAGGCGTCAAAATGTTTGAAAAATAACAAACGAAGACGAGAGAGAATCGTCAAATTGTTAAAATATATCTCTTGGATGCTTTAGTACACGTCATCAGTGATGTTTCTAGCCAAGGTTCATTAGGGGTTTTAGGTCTTTCAATATCATACCCCCTCTCCACAGTGACCCAACCGATACTGATCGGGCATCGATTTGTGTAGCTTCCGTTAGCTACAATTTTTTTGTATCCTCCCGATCACACCCTGCGATTCCTCTTGGCAGTTTATAGTCCAATCACAGATAACTTCCAGTTAACCAGCAATGTGCGCTCTTCCATAAAAAAGGAAGCAAACGCATTTACAGTTTCTATCTGCTAAGGAACCTGGCGGCGTGTTCGGCTTGAAGTGGTAAGTAACGATTTGTTTCCCTCACTAAGACATATACACATACATGTACACCCCCGAAAACGCGCTACACGCGTCAAAACACCTGCTTTTCATGAATTTTGGAAAAACGATTGTATCAAAATTATACAGTAATAAGTATCGTTAGTAATTAAAAAAAAAACGTAACATTAATATTTGTATTTACTCAACCCCCACGAGGTCAGGTTGTGACACAAGTTTGGTTTAATGTGGGGAGCCCGAGCGCGTACACCCGGGCAAGGAACAAAACTTCCCTGAGCCCCCACTGAGAGATGATGAATAAACGTGTTACAAATTACTTTAGAGTAATTTACACGCTAACATTCTCTATTTTCTGTTAATTCACTCCAAAATATTAATTCACCCTAAAAAAAATGGAATTTGTATTTATTAAAATTCACGCCAAATTCTCCCAGAGTGAAGCCCTTCCATTGCGCTCGAGTTGGGTTGACCTTTGCAGTCCCCCCAAATGTGGGCGACTTGGGTGCGCTATTTCTAATTGTGGGGGTTTACGTTCGCGCTCACCTTGATAAATAAGCCTAAAACAGTTTTCTTTATTTTAAATTGTAAAATATTCCTTGTAAGTTCCTCGAATACCATCCGCTTTTACGAAATGTGAGTAACTCCCTCATTTTTGGCATTTTTTTATTCTGACGGTTAGAGTTGTTGCGAGGCAGGCTAAACAAATTTTGATTTAAAATTTATAATTTCAAAAGAGTGCCAAACATTTAATAAGAAATCCAACAAACTTTGATTTAAAATTTATATTTTCTTGGGGTGAATTATTATTGGTGATAAGTAAATATTTACGGGCTTCTGGAACATTTATCCTGCAAACAATATTAGCAGACTCTGTGTGAGTCCAGGTAAAAAAAAAAAAAAAAAAAAACAATGAAAAATAAAACAAACGACACTACATATATTAACAAAAAGGAATTATAGATGTAGACAATTGTAATGAAACAAAGAAAACATTAAAACTAGTTATGAGAAGAATGTTTGTGTGTCTGAAACAAGTGTGTGTGATAGACACATGTGTGTGTGAGAGAGAGAGAGAGAGAGTTCAAAAGTCAACAAAGGACCACGGAAATGAATGTGCCTAGTCAGTAGTGTTCTTTATAAAGCCATTTGACTACATTTGGAAGCAAGAGTTAAAAAGACCAAAAAGAGCTAAAAACAAGAAATAGAAAGAATATGATTGCCTATTTATAGTCTTAAAGAGCGCCCCCTAGCAGGCATTTTGGCAAAGTCAAGTGGGATATCCCACAAGCTTACTCAACAATTAACTTAAGAATTAGGATCTTTTTCTGTTAATTCGCCCCAAAATAAAAAAGAATTTATATTTACTAAAATTCACACCAAATTCTCCGAGAGCGAGGCCCTTCCATTGCCCATTGTTTGGGTTAACCTTTGTGATCGCCCCAAATGTGGGCGACTCGGGAGCGCTATTTCTATGTGTTCGCACTCACCCCCAATAAACAAACCAAAAACATTCCTTTTTATTTTTTTTTTTAATTGTAAAATATTCCTTGTACATTCTTCGAATCTCATCCGCTCTTACGAAATGTGAATAACTCCCTGATTTTTGCTAATTTTTAATTCCTAGGGTTAGTTTTGTTGCAAGGTAAACAAATTTTGATTTCAAATTTCAAAAGAGTGTCAAAACTTCAATAAAAAAAAAAAAACTCGATTATCAGTTTTAACATAAAAAAAAAATTTAAATTCATAATCCACACACGGTATCGTAGAAAAAGTTACGTTGAAAAGCCACATTTCAGAATATGTGATAAATTTCGGTCACGTGTGAAACGAAATCAGTGTTGAATATTGAATGAGAAACAGAACTTACATGGTGATTTCGGTCTTGGACTCAGGTACTGTGGATTTTCTGTAGCTCCGTAATAGCTAGTGTGAGCACCTGGAAAAAAAAATCAACATGGGTTAATTTAGTTAATATACATGGCCAACTGCTTTGTATTGGTCGACAAAGTCATAACATTTCATTCAACATATATTTTAAAATCATTTCACCTCTGCCAAACAAGTAAGGAGATAATGCCACTAAGACGCTAATGCTAACTGGGAGAGAAAAAGAATGAAAAGACTTTAGTGAGGAAAAAGACAATAAAAGACGAGGTTTCAGGAAGACAGAAGATGGCGATATTACCACTAAGAAGCAAGGGGTTACTGGGAGTGAAAGAGAAAGAGAAGACTTTAGTGAGGAGAAAGGACAATAAAAGAACATGTATCAGGAAGACAGAAGATGGCGATAATGCCACTCAGACACAAGGAGTTAATAGGAGTGAAAGAGAATGAGAAAACTTTAGTGAATAGAAAGGACAATAAAAGAACAGGTTTCAGGAAGACAGATGATGGCGATTGGTGTTGCATTTAATTGTTTTAAGATTATAGGTGTCAGGGAAGCAAGAAAACGTAAGATAGTTACACAAGTGAGAAGTGCGAGGGAAGAAACTATTAACATAGAACTTACGGTTCCATCTAGCTAGTTCAATAGTAAAACAGAAAACCTTGTACGCTTAAATTCATGAAATCGAGGAGAGCTTATTAGAAATATTTCCATGAAACTATTTGTAGAAAAGACGGAGGAAAGCCACATCAGAAAGCGAGATGCCAGGTCAGGATTGATAATATTGCAAACTCTTCTTTAGCTTTCACCATGGTTCTCGTGTTATATAGCAGGAGCACCAGGCCAGATATATCAACAGTAATCAATGCACTGACGAACGGTAGATTTATAAATGTATAAGATGGATTCCGGCGCGAATATTTATTTGGTATGAAACAGTGAACCAACTTTCCTAGCATTAGTCCTAGCAATTGATTCAATATAATCTTTCCACTTCAAGTCAGGGGAAAACCTGAGACCAAGAAGGTTCAAAGAATTGCCCCCCTTAAAGGTTAGCATCGGTAACACCAGCGAAGTAAAAGCTCACTGGTCATCTGGTTGGGTTCAAAGTGTGTTATCTCTTCTTCTTATCTATAATGGTAATATTGTTTCCTTATAAGGAAACATTCGACATTCATTTATCGAGCAGACGCTGTTACTCGAGTTATGCTTTTCTTTGCTACCTAGCCATCGGGTTGGTATCAAAGTGTGGTAGTAATTTTCCAAGCACAGCTTAGATGTGGCACAAAGCCGAAATTAAGGGGCACCCAGTGAGGATCGAACTCACTACTCCGTCGTAAATTGTTCTAGCAAGACAAGTTTGCTAACCATTACACCACCTCGAGGTGCCCAAATAGTGATTTTCCAAGCATAGCTTAGATGTGGCACAAGGCCGAAAGTATTAGGCACCCAGTGAGAATCGAACTCACTATTCAGTCGTAATTGATCTGGCAAGACAAGCTTGTTAACCATTACACCACGTCGAGGTGCCCAAATCAAAGTGTAGTATCTGTTCTCCTCATCTCGAACAGTAACAGTAATCTTCTTCTTCTTCTTCTTCTTCTTCTTCTTCTTCGTACCGTGTCTCTTCAGAACGTTGGCGATCATAGCTCTCCACAACTTCCTGTCCCTTTCAGCTCTTAATAAATTTGGTCTTTTTGTTATCTCTCCTAAACCTTGTTCCGCCATCCATTTACTCAAGCTCATTCTTCTTCTTCTTCTTCTTCTTCTTCTTCTATGTGCCGTGTCCCTTCAGGACGTTGGCGATCATGGCTCTCCACAATTTCCTGTCTTTTGTAGCTCTTAATAAATTTGGTCTTTTTGTTATCTCTCCTAAACCTTGTTCCGCCATCCATTTACTCAAGCTCATTCTTCTTCTTCTTCTTCTTCTTCTTCTTCTATGTGCCGTGTCCCTTCAGGACGTTGGCGATCATGGCTCTCCACAATTTCCTGTCTTTTGTAGCTCTTAATAAATTTTATTTTTTTGTTATCTCTCCTAAATCTTGTTCTGCCATCCATTTACTCAAGCTCACTAAGTATGTTATGCGTTGTTTCACTCAATCCCTCTTGCCTTTAATCTGACTTTTGAGTATCAAATTTTCCAAGCCTACTTTCCTCTTTATCTGTCCTATAAATTTCAACTGTCTCTTTCTGGTGTGAAGCACAAGTGTTTTTTTTTTCTTTTTTTGTTTCTACGTTCTCTAAAACTTCGCCGTTGCTGGTTCAGTCCATGGAATTATCAACATCCTTCTGTAGAACCACATTTCTTTTGCTTTTCTGTATCTTTGAGGAGATTGTCTAGCAATCACTGCCATATAGAAGGACTGATATTATGTAACTGTTCAGTATTCTTCTCTTTGTTTCTAACGACTTTTTTCTATTTAGATATTTTAAAATAATTTTTCTGGTTTCCAATTTCGTATTTAAATAAAATAAGTCTCAAATGTCTGAGAACGTCCGGCTTCTATAAGCCATTATAAAAGACTTTATGTTTTTTGTGCTATGTCGGTTTCATCATTTACCGATATCATATTATCGTGTCTTTACGTGTCAGTTCGTGGTATCGCGTCATTCTTTTGATTTGGGGGAAGCTGTGGTGGGGGTTAATTGTTTACTTAGAAGTCATGGTAATTCACAAATTATAAAGAAAAGGAATCTGTGACGACAAGTCTCAGTTCTAAACCATGGAGAAGGCAATGGGAAACCACTCCCCTATCTTTCCCAATAAGTCATGGCAATTCACAGATAATGAAGAAAGATCAATGGAGAGTCGTTATCGCCTACGTGCTTTTCTAGAGTGAGCTGACGTGTATTTTCAGCATCATTTTTTGCAGGTGACTGCACTTGTGTGCATATGTGCGTGAGTTCAGAACGAGGCTTAAATACGTGACAAAATAAATGAATTATTTTACTCTTTGACTTTTTTAAAAATCAGTTTCTGTCTCTTGTCAAGATTTTAATTAAAATTCCAAAAAATAATCCATCGAAAGAAAGCAGCCATGTTTTTTTGTTTTTTTTTTCAAGCAGCGACGAACATTACTGCGCATGTCTTATTGAAGTTCCGGTAGAAAATAAAACATATTTAACGCTTGTCCTTGTTTATAAACCTAGAGTAGACTTGTTATTAATCAGGAGATATCGTGTGTGTATTTCACGTATGCAAGTACACGTCAAGACATACATTACACATCCGGATCAATGATATGTACACACTTCTTATACCAACATCAATCTCTTTATCTCTACGTGTCGATAAACGCACATTCTATGTAGTTCCCGTGTATTCCGGCGTATAAGACGACCTTTAAATAAAAATAAAAACTTCACCATTAAATGTTGGTGAGCATCGTCTTATACGACAATACTGAAAAAAGAAACCTTAAATTCTGAGTGGTATTTGTCGGTAGGCTAATCTCGGCCTCAGTGCGATAACCACTAACGTACACAAAAAAAAATTCACATTATCAAAAAAATTAATAATAAATGTAATAAAACCATTTATACCTTATATATTACTGGTATAACCTCATAATAAATTGTCTATTCGAATAATAATTCCATATCAATAATAGGATGGCTTCTAAACTAGTTTATAATAAAACGTTCACTGCAATTTGGGATACATAAGGAAAATAAGAGTTACACCATGAAAGCACTGATAATGGATAGTATAATATATTAATATATATTTTTAACCTCGCATGATCTGGCAACCCTGAATCTGAGCTCAACGAAAATCGTTCCCTGCGCCTAAGTTTTCTATGGCTTTTGAATGAGCTTATGAATCATTGAAATCGGACCAGTGGGAGCGAAGGAGTTGCTTGGACGCACACGCACAAACACACAGATACACTGTACTTTATATATAAGATTTAGAAAAGTGACATGTATTAAATATGAAACTAATTGCTGTATATTTCTATATATAAGATGATACTTAAATTAAAAAAAAAAGCACCGTTAAAAACTGAGTGTCATCTTATACTACAATTCTAAAAGAGAAACCTTAAATTTTGAAAGGTGCGCCCTTCCATTGCACCAGAGGGAGGGATCGGTGCTCGCATCGAGGCCAGCGCAGCACACGGTTGCGGGGGCTGTGGGAAATTTTTGTCCCTTGGTCGAGTGTACGCGCTCGGCTTCTCACTTTAAAACGACCTTGTCTCACATCTCGTTCCGGTGGGGAACGAGTAAAACCCGTGAAAAATAACGCATGGCTTATCATCTCTCAGTTGCGTCTCTGTCTTTGGGCAGAGTGCGCTCCGGGGCTTGTCGGTAGGCTAACCTCTTCCTCGGGGCCTTAACCAATAATGTACATGAAAAAATTTACATTATCAAATAAACTGATAATAAAAATAATAAAACCATTTCTACCTTATATAAACTTCATAACAAATTGCCTATTCAAAGAATAATTCCATATCAATGAAATCAACTTGTATCTATGCAAGCTCAGCTGAGGAAATGTAAACATCAAGTTATGATTGTGTTCACAGCAACCTTTATCGTACGTTATTGGCAGTATTTTGTAATTGTCGATGAAGTATAAGTAAATGGCTATAAGTACACCAGGCTGTTTGAAACTGTTTAGATATAGGAAAAGAAGAGGAAGGAGAAGAATCAGTATTTGCAAAAGATCATAGGAATTAAGGCTGGCAACGTTTCAAATGTGGAATAAGGGCTGGAGTATGGAGATTAATTCATCATCCACAAGGCTGCCTAAGCACTCTTCAACTGCCACGGCTAGATAGCAAGTATCTGGCGTCACTAGCCCAGATATGGTAGCAATCCTCTATTCTTAGTCAGATCGGACTCTCATAAAAGACAGGGCAGGTCAGGAGGAGTCTGGTATTTTCTGGGACGATACAAGGAACCAATCATTCTTCCAGCATCATTTGCAATGTGGCATTTACTTATTAAATTATTTTTTCCAACATTTAGTTGATTTTATATTCTTAAATGGTTCCTTCAAATCTAAAAACTGTTATTGTACCATTTTGTATCAATTTATACAGAGCAACAAACTAGCGTATATTACCGCATATAAGACGACCTTTAAATCCCCCCCCAAAAAAAAATAACCCTTAAAAATTGGGTATGGTCTTATACTACGGTTCTGTAAAAGAAATCTTAAATTCTGGGTGATGTTTGTCGGTAGGCAAACCTCAGCCTCGTTACGATAACTATATTAAAATATTAGAAATATTTACATTATCAAATAACCTGATAATAAAAGTAATAAAACCATTTCTATCTTATAAATTACTGGCATAACTTCATAATAATTTGCCTATTCGAAGAATAATTCCCTATCAATGAAATCAACTTGTATCCATGCAAGCTAAGCTGAGAAAATGTAAACATCGAGTTATGACTGCGTTCACAGCAACGGAATGTACTATTATCGTACAGCGGTATTTTGTGACTGTCGATGAAGTATAAGTAAATGGCCATTAGTACACCAGGCTGTTACTGTTTAGATATAGGAAAAGTAGAAGAAGAAGAAGAAAAATGAAACTAGAAAATCGTAAAGAAATATAAACAAAATAATAAATGCCGTATATTTCCACGTAAAAGACGACCTTTGAATCCCAAAAATCACCCTTAAAATTACGGGTGTTCTATAAAAGAAACCTTAAATTCTGGGTGATATTTGTCGGTAGGCTAATCTCAGCCTCGTTACGATAACCAATAACGTACATGAAAAGATTCACATTATCAAATAACCTGATAATAAAAGTAATAGAACAATTTCTACCTTATAAATTACTGACATAACTTCATAATAATTTGCCTATTCAAAGAATAATTCCATATCAATGGCATCAACTTGTATCAATGCAAGCTCAGCTGAGAAAATGTAAACTACTGGATATTGAAGTGGTAGTTGCAGTTAACTATTCCATCAGTAAACGTGTGGGACCTAAATCCCAATCTAGTAACACGCTTAAATTCATGCAGTCGCGGCAACAGGGAAAAAAGTTCGTCAGAGCATTTGCCATGGAAATATTTGTAGAAAAGACAGATGGAAGCCATGTTGAGAAGCCTGATCAGAATAGATTACATTCTAGATCCTTCAATTGATTTTGTCAAGAATCGCGAGTATTTGACCGTGTTGAACTTTTAAAGCTTCAGTCCGTTTGCAACGTTATTGTAAACTTGTGACAACGTTGGAGATAAGTGTTCTCATTTGGCGCTCCGGCAGATAGATGATCGTAACGTTACGTTAACATCGCTACAAATTCTGCGACCTCCACCACTCCAAGCGAACCTTTAAATATCCAAAGTCACGCTTAAAAACTGGGTGTGTCGTTTTATATGCAGAAATATACGCTAGTTTGTTGCTCTGTATAAATTGATACAAAATGGTACAATAAATCTTTGTGGATTTGAAGGAACCATTTCAGAATATAAAATCAACTAAATGTTGGAAAAAATAATTTAATAAGTAAATGCCACATTGCAAATAATGGTGGAAGAATGTTTGGTTCTTTGTATCGTCCCAGAAAATACCAGACTCCTCCTGACCTGCCCTGTCTTTTATGAGAATCGGAGGATTGCTACCATATCTGGGTTAGTGACGCCTAGTACTTGCTATCCAGCCTTGGTAGTTCAAGAGTGCTTAGGCAGCCTTGTGGGTGATGAATTAATCTCCACCCTGCAGTCCTTATTCCACATTTGAAACGTTGCCAGTTTTTCACTCCTATGATCTTTTGCAAATACTGATTCTTCTCCTTCGTCTTCTTTTCCTATATCTAAACAGTTACAAACAGCCTGGTGTACTTATGGCCATTTACTTATACTTCATCGACAATTACAAAATACTGCCAATAACGTACGATAAAGGTTGCTGTGAACACAATCATAACTTGATTTCCTCAGCTGAGCTTGCATAGATACAAGTTGATGCCATTGATATGGAATTATTCTTCGAATATGCAATTTCTTATGAAGTTATGCCAGTAATATATATAATACATAAGGAAGAAATGGTTTTAATATTTTTATTATCAGTTTACTAGAAGTAGCACCCGGCGTTGCCCGGGGATGTAACAGTAAGAGATAGATCAAGTATCGACCATCATAAAGACTGAAAAATAAAATTGACAAAGATTATTGTTTAAGGTTGACGGACACGCTTGTCTTAATTAGTTTTTTGTACATTATTGGTTATCGTAAGGTTTCTTTTGCAGAACACCCCTAATTTTAAGGGTGATTTCGGGGAATTAAAGGTCGTCTTATACGCGGAAATATACGGTATTTGTTATTTTGTTTATAGTGATGTTTGTTGGTAGGCTAACGTCGGTACGATAACCAATAACCTACATTAAAATATTTACATTATCAAATAAACTGATAATAAAAGTAACAAAACCATTTCTATCTTATATATTACTGGCATAACTTAATAGCAAATTGCCTATTTGAAGAATAATTCCATATCAATGGCATCAACTTGTATCGATGCAAACCACAATTCTTTTTCAAAATGGCATAAAAATGAATACTCCCGCTTGGTGACAGACAAGGGCAGATAACTGTGATAGCGATTGCTGTATGAGTCGTACGATTTTTTAATCAAGCACGGGCAACGCCGGGCCATGCTGCTAGTATATATATATATATATATATATATATATATATATATATATATATATATTTTAAGACATTAAATTTATTTATATAAAAACTGTCCGAATATTCTTTTTACCGAGCGCTTTCGGCTATACATTTAGTCATTTCCAAGGATGAAATATTTTAACTGTTAAATAAGAAGTAGTTTGTTGCATTTATGTATTTATCGAATGTTTTCATTTTTCAAAACACGGTCAAGATATTGTGTCCATGTTCATAGTTGATATTATTAAGTGTTGGGTTTTTTGTTTTTATTAATAAGGTTTCCTTTATTTTTAGCCTTTTTTTTTTTTTTTGCATGTAGATGATGCTATTGTATTTGTGTTGTCAACAAGCATGTTACGAATAGTGTCCAGTAGGTCTCCATAAATATTTAATTGAGATCTAATTGAGCTATGATCAGAAAGGTGTAGAGTGATTCTGCGTGTCAAACATGTTGTAGTGTGGCCTATATAATTATTTACGAATTTTGATTGATCAGGAATACATTTCCTTAATGGGCGTTTAAATTCGTAAATAATATTTGCCCTATATAATTTTGAAAAGAATTTATCTATATATATATATAAAGACATTTTTGTTTATAGATTCTTTTTATAGATACAAATATTTAAGTAAATGCTCTGTTTATAATAAACAGTATTTGAATCATTTACAGGCCTGAATGTCCGAGAAATTTTCACAAAAAATATTCGTCCTCCGACAGGACTCGAACCTGTATCCTATACGGAACCGTCATTTAGCCTTAACCAATTGAGCTACAGAGGATCGTTCAGTTAGCAAGGTCGATTTTACTGCTTTTAAACTACAATCTTCCATGATTCTTTCACGTACATTCATATCTGCTCAATGCGTATCCAAATGTAAACAAATGACGTCACACATTATGAAATGGACAAAGTCCGACAATTATCTTAAGATATTCTTATGTTTATACATTCTTTTTATAAATACAAATATTTAAGTAAATGCTCTGTTTATAATAAACAGTATTAATAAAATGAATGTCCGAGAAATTTTCATCGAAAATATTGGTCCGCCGAACATTTGGATACGCATTGAGAAGATAGGAATGTACGTCAGACATTTATGGAAGATTGTAGAAATTATTAAAATAATTATCGGACTTTGTCCATTATTTTTCCTTTTTCTTTTCTCCCTACTCCCCTCCCATTTCTATATATCATTTCCGTTAAGTTAACCATCTAAATAGGTCACGGTCTGGTCACTCCTCCTACCCCAATATAAAGTACACTTGAGAGAGAGATATGAAATTAACCCTCCCTATACTCTACCATGTCTCTTTACCTATCCTCTCACACTCCCTGTTAAATTACAAAAACTTACACTACCCATCAATTTTAATCTCATTTTCGTTTCATTTCGTTGTTGGAAGTGTTATCTGATGATCCGGCGTCCTTTTTTAAAAGGACTCTGGTGAAATAAATTATTGTAATGGTATCTTAAAAAGTGGTCTGTTTTTCTTTTATATATATATATATATATATATATATATAGTTAACCTAGAGAGCCAGACAAAACCTACCAAGGTTTCACCTCAGCGGATCGTCAGGAAGTTCATCCTTCCCTGACGATCCGCTTAGGTGAAACCTTTGGTAGGTTTGTCTTGGCTTTCAGGTTTAACTATGTTCTCTACTCATTTTATTGAGCACTTTATTTAGTTATTTTGCGTACTCGCATAGGTTTTTTTCTTTGGGCCTTGAATTTGTATGATGGACGATTATTTTCAGTTAACGTACATGTTCTAGGTTCTTTCTTTCTTTTTTATACCTTTTTTCTCTTTGGTATTGGCTTGTTTATTTGCAAATCAATACACCGAAGGTTTTCGAGCGAGTATAGTTTCTTATACTTATAAGATTTCTATTACAAATAGTATATATATATATATATATATATATATATATATATATATATATATATATATATATATATATCTCCAAGTATAGGATTGGTGTATACGGAATAAATTCCAATAACCACAAATACTATTCTTAAAAGAGCGCTCAATACAGAGTAGAGCAAATATAATTTATTCGAAAATTATAAAATAAATATGTTATAAAACTCACTACAAAAATAGCCATTTTGTTTCAACACTTCTGATCTTTTATCAAGTGATCGTATTGAAATGGCTATGTTTGTAGTGATTTTATAACATATTTATGTTATAATTTTCGAATGAATTATATATATATATATATATATATATATATATATATATATATAATTTCAACTTCAAGTGTCGTTAAAAATTCCTATTTCATTCAATGAGGCTTGTTTGTTAGATCAATTTTAACTTCGGACAAGCTGTCAGCTCATCCACTTCACAGGCGAAGAAAACGGTGAAATGAGTCGTTCAAGTCGACAGAAAAAAAATTTTTCCAAACCATTTTGTATTTTCTTTTTACGTTTTGAAAAGATGTTTTTCAAATGGATGACGTTTCCGTGCTCCAAGACGACCCATCTCCCGTTCCGCCTCGAACCTGGTCGAAGCATGACGTCACAGACTCAAGGAATACGTAGATCGATGAAAAACGCTATATTTGCAGACACCAAGTCTGCTCACGTTTCCAGTAAGGGTCATCGTCTGTTTCTCTCTCTTGGCCTAATCGATACATTGATTAAGAATCTGTTTGGCAAGCTCAAAATCCACGACGCTTTTATTTCGTCTCTCAATTTTCTCTATCTCCTCCTCTATATGACTTGCTCGTTATAGCAAGATTTGAATTCATTAACATATATATATATATATATATATATATATATATATATATATATATATATTATAAATTAATTGATTTAAAATATGCTTTTTTTCAGCTACACAGTTCTAACCATGTTTCAAAAATGGAAGCTAAAAGCCACGAATTTAATTTTTTGCCGTTAACAATAAATTTTAAAAAAAATCCAGACGACATGCAATCAACGGATGTCAGTTCTCATTGAAAAATACATCCCTACCCCTTATCAAAATGTAGCTAATAACCGATACAATGATACAGACATAAGGAAAACCCAGATCACCCTTGTCCAATTGAAGTAGATTTATCTGTAACCATGGAAACGTGATTTAGCTGTGTCTTTAAAACCCGGTAATTTTTGAAAGTTACTCCAAAATTGCTTGAGGATGAAAATGGAACTAATGTCTTTAATTTAATTGCAAAATTAAATTGTGGCTTTAGCTTCCATTTTTGAAACATGGTTAGAACTGTGTAGTGGAAAAACATATTTTAAATCAATTAATTTATAATATTAATGCTCTGTAAATTTACATTGAGTACTATTTTGTAAAAATAAAAATATCTATAAGAACACCGGATTTTATATCTTACTGTTCTTTCTTTTTATTTAAATACATATATATATATATATTATTTACATTATTCGGACTATAGTCCTCATCTTTGTCGCCATATTTATCACAACGTTTCGGCCGTTGTACGCTCCGGCCTTCTTCAGGTGGTTTGAATGTCGAACTGAACCCTTTATTTCGCTCACTGGGGTAGACTGTTCTAGTTCCACGTGCCATGTTTGATGGATGTCAGTTATCAGTTATCTCCTGTTAATTTTCCCTCTGAAAGTTCTCCACTGCCTTAACCGGGTATTGAACTCACACTCTTTGGGTCCTGTCACTGGATCTAACCAACGCCTTTATCCACTGTGCCATGTGTCCTTGAGGACAAATAAATATGGCGACAAAGATGAGGACAATAGTCCGAATAATGTAAATAATGTACATAATACCTCATCTCATATATATATATATATATATATATAAGTTGACACCGAATGGCGACAGTCTGTTTCATGCTTGCACACAATCTGCAGACAATGATGCCACTTGACTGGCATGTATATTGCAGTCAAGCACGAAACAGTGACCATTCGGTTTTGGTTTTGACATCAGTGTTCAATCATATATATATATATATATATATATATATATATATATATATATATATATATTATGAAATGGACAAAGTCCGACAATTATTTTAAGACATTTTTATGTTTACACATTCTTTTTATAGATACAAATATTTAAGTAAATGTCGGAGGACGCATATTTTCTATGAAAATTTCTCGGACATTCAGGCCGGTAAATGTTGTTTGATACTGTTTATTATAAAACAGAGCATTTACTTAAATATCTGTATCTATAAATGTATCTATAAACAAAAATGTCTTAAAAGATAGATAGATAGATAGATAGATAGATAGATAGATAGATAGATAAATCATCTCAAAATTAAATCGGGCAAATATTATTTACGAATTTAAATGCCCATTAAGGAAATGTATTCCTGATCAATCAAAATTCGTAAATAATTATATAGGCCACACTACAACATGTTTGACACGCAGTCTCACTCTACACCTTTCTGATCATAGCTCAATTAGATCTCATTTAAATACTCATGCAGACCAACCGGACACTATTCGTAACATACTTATTGACAACACAAATACAATAGCATCATCTACATGTAAAAAAAAAAGGCTAAAAATAATGGAAGCCTTATTAATAAAAACGAAAAAAAACAACACTTAATAATATCAGCTATGAACATGGACACAATATCTTGACCGTGTTTTGAAAAATGAAAACATTCTATAAATACATAAATGCAACAAACTAATTTTTATTTAACTGTTAAAATATTTCATCCTTGAAAATAGCTAAATGTATAACCGAAAGCGCTCGCTAAAAGAATATTCGAACAGTTTTTATATAATTTATCATCTGAAAAGAAACAAATTATTTGATCGCATGAGAAATTGTATAAAAAAAAACTAAATAAAAGCACCTTGTCTGTCGTATTTCATGAAATGTGCATGAAAGAAGGATTGCTGCTTAAATACACACAAACACACACACATATATATATATATATATATATATATATATATATATATATATATATATATATATATATATATTCGCACACTGAGTCTGCAATGGAAAATTGTCGTCTAAATGACACAAAAATTAACTACCACGGACATCTCATTTTAACAGATATATTTACCAAAATTACACAAAAATATCTTGAAATACTAAAGAGTAAATTTATTCAATAAATTCGCCATTGGTTTCAACTACGGCCTCCAGATGACTTCGGAATCTCCTGCAACTCTTCTGGACAGTCTCCTTGTTTAAGTTGGTGAATGCTGTCATAATTCTTGCCTTCAGTTCATCTTTGGTATTACAAGGAGTTTGGTTGGTCTCTCGCTCAACTGTTGGAGTTTTATTGATTTCTCTCACAACTGTGCCCCAAACATAATAATCAAGGGGGTTAATCTGGGGGTTAGGTGACTAAAGGTAAAGTGTGATGTGGTCACAAAGATTGTCTCACTGCCATGATTGGTTTTCCTGCTTATCTAGCATGTTGCAGAGTCCTATTGCTAGACATAGGGTCTTCCAACAGCCACCCTCTTGAGCCGGAGCAGTACTGTCTCCATAAGGTATTTGATATAGCCCCCGTGTTAATTCTGGGACCCTTTGGGAAGATGAATGGAGGTAAAACTTCGTAATTACTACCGATCACTCCAAACACCTTCATTATCACCATTAGACTCATCCAACAGATACCGAATCCTAGTTAGTTTCCTCAGATTGACACCCAAACACACTGAAATGTTCATATTGGAGCTTCCGGTGCGAATGCCAAGCAGTGCAGTATGCTGGTTCCAAATTTCTGGCGGAGTGAATTTCGTCATGGTGGTCTTTCTCTAACAGACGGTGACCAACTGACCTTACTATACTGTGTAGTTAACAAAATCAAATAACAACGCGTATGTGCGAAATTAAAAAAATATAAAATGACAACAATTTGCCCATCGCACTATATATATATATATATATATATATATATATATATTGATATATTTAAAAATTATAACATAAATATGTTATAAAATCACTGTTTGTAGTTAATTATAATTTTTAAGTAAATAATTATATTTGCTCTACTCTGTATGGAGCACTCTTTTAAGAATATTAATTGTTGGTTATTAGAATTTATTCCGTATACACCAATCATATACTTGCATATATAATATATTATTGTTATTGACCTCAATGTTCTTCTTATATGTTAAACGTTATATATATATATATATAACTTATCTTATAACGAGAACTTTCAACATGCCCCGATGTCCACTGTTATATATATATATATATATATATATATATATATATATATATATAACTTATCTTCTGAAAAGAAGTTTACTGTCACCTCCTGCTCGTTAGGTAAGATTTGAATTTATTAACAGATATCATTGTTTTTCTTATATATATATATATATATATATATATATATATATATATATATATATATATATATATATATATATGAGTGGACACTGAAATCAACATTGAATGGCCATTGTTTCATGCTTGAAACGCAATTTTTCAGGCCAAGTTCTGAGAGATATACTGGTTCACGTGTGATATATTATATTATATGATATTATTATTGTTGGGGTGGAATATTATTGGAGTTAAAATATTTAAACGGTATTTTTAATTCCAATAATATCTCGCGCAAACCAGAATTAATGTATGTTTTAATATATATATATTAATATATATATATTTATATATATCTATATATTTATATTCATATATGTTTTAATATATATTTTCTGTTTATATGTTATTTTTATAGATTCAAATATTTAAGTAAATGCTCTGTTTATAATAATCAGTATTAACAGCATTTTCTGGCTATACATTTAGACTATTTCATGGATGAAATATTTCTACTATTAAATAGGAAATAGTTTTTGTTACATGTATGTAATTATATAATGTTTTCATTTACAAAGCACGGTCAATATATTATTATGTTCATATATATATATATATATATATATATATATATATATATATATGAAGAAAAAATATACGGAAAAAACAAACTAAAATCCTAATATGCAATTATGCTATTTTAATGTTAATATAATGTCAACGTCGGACGTTTCGGTCTAATAGACTATCTTCAGGATATATTCATAAAACATAATTAACATAGACCATGTACAATTCAACATGAAAAAGACGATGGACATAAAAGCAATACCAATCCAAACAGATACCTGAAATCTTTTATAAGATCATCGTTCCGTTTAAATATGATATATAATTATGTATTATGAATATGTACTGAAGATGGTCTATTAGACCGAAACGCCCGACGTTGGCATTATATTAGCATTAAAACAGCATAATTGCATATTAGGATTTTTGTTTGATTTTCCGTATATTTTTCTTCATACTGTCGGATTTATATCCATATATTTGCTTACATATATATATATACATATATATCCATATATATATATATATATATATATATATATATATATATATATATATAATAAAAAGGCTTAAACACTAATATTCCATGGTCATAATTTACTCCATTGGAATCGTAAATACGATCAATTCATAAGACCTACACATTCAAAAGGAAAACAAAAAAAACCAACTCGGAAATAAAAAACAGAATTTAGAGAGTGTAAGTATGAGGGGAGGAGATTAAACCTTAACAGAGAGAATATTAGGGAGGTGGGTGGAAGGGGTTTAAGTAAGAGAAAAAAATGAATTTTGTCAGATGTGTAAAGATACATTTCGTGGTGAAATAAGCGAGTTTGTGGTGTGACCAATATAAATATTATTTAATCCATTGGAGATAAAATCTCCCAAAGGGCACTTGAATTTGTAAACTATGTTGTTTGCAAATCGCTAACGAGGAGGGGGAGGGAAGAATTATTGCGAATAATTAAGTTGGATATACTAGATTTAGTGTAGTATATTATTAATCTGATTTTTTTTTTTGCTCGGTTCTTTTGTAGATATATTAGCATTTACTATTTTCTAAATATGTATATATATATATATATATATATATATATATATATATATATATATATTTGAGTCGAAGTTAGGCTAAAACAGAAATTTAAAGAAAACTAAAAAATATTTTTTTGCAATGTGGATGGTGTGCATTAACGCGAGCTTAAATTCGCTTTATTCGATCACTTTTTTCGGCCCCTGTGTCTTCCTCTGCTCCATTGACGTCGACATATGTTTTATCTTAATTATACACGTTGAAAAATATTTAAAATGCAAGAAAGCAGCCGAAACACATTTTTTTTATTATTATTAAGAAATAGGTGCGCCAATATCTAAAACGTATTTTGTTTCACTTACCGTTGCCCTGCTGGGCCTTCTGTTCCGCCATGTCTTTGATCATGTGACTGGAAAGGTCACGTGCTATGGGGTTGGCCGGTACACCGTGAGGGTCGAGGTGGGAGGCTTCTTCTAAGATTTTGTGAGACTCGGACGTCGGCGGCAGAACTACTTCTGCTCCCACCAAAAAGCGATTGATGCAGAAAAAGCCAATGAGGACAAATATGCAGATGACTCCATAAGAGCGGAAAGTCACTTCACTGCCTGGAAAAAAGATGTTAAATACATTCATAAATATATATATATATATATATATATATATATATATATATATGTGTGTGTGTGTGTGTGTGTGTCATTTATTACTTGTCTGTTTACTGAAGGCATATTTAAAAAAAGAAAAAAAACTACATTTTCTTAAATTCTGAAACGTTATTTTAAATGAACATAAATAAAGTTTAAGAAAACTTACGTGCCCGCAATAAGACGTAGGTGTCAAAAAATTTTTTTTCCCGTGACGCCGCTATTATTTTTAACTACCTTCACTCCTCGGCAATGTTTATTGTTTTAAAAAGCGATGATTAGAATTGGATTAAAATCTAAACATATGATGAAAGTGAATTTATACATATTTTTGTTCTTTAAACTAAACAGCAAAAATATTAATCACTATTTATTAAATTATTTATTAACAAGAATAATTTTATATTTATAACATTCTAATAATTAATACAATTAAAACTAATGCAATGCAATATTCATGGGAAAAAGTGCAAACATGTACTTTGCGCGTGCAAAAAATAGATTATCAAAAGGATAGTTTTTCCCTTGACACTGCTATTATTTTAACTACCTTCACTCCTCGGCAATTTTTGTTGTTTTAAAAAGCAATGATTAGAATTGGAACAAAATCTAAACATATGATGAAACTGAATTTATACATATATTTTTTTTTGTTCTTGAGAATATGAAAATATGAAACACTATTTATTTGCTTTTTAGATTGTTTATTTACAAGAATAATTTTATATTTACAACATTCTAATAATTAATACAATTTGAAATAATGCAATGCAATATTCACAGGAAAAATGCAAAAAATGGACCTTTGAAAGAGAAGTGTCAAAAAGACTGTTTTTCCCTTGACACGGCTATTATTTTAACTACCTTCACTCCTCAGCAATGTTTATTTTTTTAAGGAGATGAATAAAATTGGAAGAAAGCCTGACAATATGATGAAAGTAAATCTATACATATTTTTGTTCTGAGAATTTATGACAAAAATATTAAATACTATTTATTTATTAGATTTTTTATTTACAAGAATAATTTTATATTTACAACATTCTAAAACCTAATACAATTAAAACTTCCCACAACAGGAAACAACGCCATTATCTTCCCTAATTCACAGATAATAACGAAAAGTCATGATTACCTATGTGTTGAAGTCACTTTCCCACAGACGCAACATTGCAAGAGAATCGCTACTCCATGACAAATGTTCAAATGAGCGCTCCATTCTTTAGTTCTATCAGTTCTGACCTTTGCAACTAGGAAACGCCACGTAGTCAACTCATATTCATTTCTTCCTATCGCTACTATATCGCTATTTCTATGTCTAATGTTCAGATAAGCGCTCCATTCTTTCGTTCCACCAGTTCAGACCTTTACTGCTAGGAAACGCCACAGTCAAATCATATTCATTTTTTCCTATTGCTATTTCTCTTTTCATATGTTCAGATTAGCGCTCCATTCTCTAGTTCCACCAGTTCAGACATTTACTGCTACGACACGCCACGGAGTCGAATCATACGCATTTATTCCTATCGCTATTTCTATGTCTAATGTTCAGATGAGCGCTCCATTCTTTCGTTCCACCATTTCAGACCTTTACTGCTAGGAAACGCCACAGAGTCAAATCATGCCCGTTTCTTCCTATTGCTTCTCTATGGCTATTTCCATGTCAATTGTTCAGATGAGCGCTCCATTTTTTCGTTCCACCAATTCAGACCTTTACTGCTAAAACACACCACGGAGTCGAATCATGCACATTTCTTTATATCGCTCCATTCTTTATTTCTACCAGTTCAGACCTTTCCAGCTAGAACCCCAACCACGGTGTCAAATCACACGCATTTCCCCCGTATTCCATTTGTAATGAAGTAGTTCCTCTCAGAGAGGCTTTGTCGACGAGAACTGCCGCTTTATAGAACAAACTCCCGCGTTGTTGCTTCCTTGAAAACCATAATCCTAACTTCTTCGAGTCAAAAGACTATCTCTATATACCCTCCTTGTCCTTATAACCTTCTCTATGCTCATTACGTTCCTATCACATATCTCATTCAGTAAGCCTCTGCCATAAGTGGCTCTTGAGCCTTGTATTCATTGAAATTAAGAAAGAGACATGGTATTTTAATTTTTAAAAAAGTAAGGTAAATTATCAAACACTCCGTATGAAAGTTTGCGGGTGTCTAAATAATTTTGTTAAATTGGCAGGTTGAGGATTTTGGTATGTTTGGAGGCATGACGGAATCAGCGGCTTGGGTTGAGGAATCGGAGAGCCGAGTTCGAATTCCAGTCCATTCATTTCATTCACTTGCTTTTTATACCCTAGGGAAAAGAATGAATCCATCTTTTCTACCTTACCGGCTATCGGTTAAATAACAAGATAGACTGAGCCTTATATACATGGTTGGCAACCAGTTTGGAAGAAAGCTCTGAAATCAAACCAGCTTCTGCCAGGTCCTGTCTATTTAGGCAAATTCTCGAAGAAGGTTATATGGGCAAGTAGCCGAGTGGTTAGAATGTATGCTTTCTGACCATAACACCCGGGTTCGAATCCCACTCCGGTTGATTTGTCAGGAAGGAGACTTCCTGGCGTTATCGGTCTGGAGGAGGTCGATCCCAGCATTTAGAAAGGGCCTGAGACCCATATCACAGGTTGACCCAAGCATTGTGAGCGAAATTGGGTAGACGGAACACTTGGCAGCCGTCGATAGCTGTGGTAGCACGAAGTCACAAGTCATCGTAACTGAGGGTTTGAGTGTATCGGCAGTTTTCAGAATGTTGATCATGCAAGATAACACATTCTCTTCCAGAAACTGTAAATAAGGTCTGCTCAGCATATTTGCAATATAAACCATAGGTTAGCACTGTGGGTGTAGAACTAACACAAATGTGCCTGAGCGAGAATCTGCAATAGGGATTGGCTAACCGACCTATTAGACGGATATCCTCGAATACGAGTGGCCAGCGATTATATATATATATATATATATATATATATATATATATATATATATATGTACAGGAGGCACGGTGGAGTAATCATAGAGCCGAGTTCGAATTCCAGTCGAATCCATTATATTCACTTACGTACTAATACCATTGGGAAAGGTATGAATCCTCTTCTTCTCCCCCCAGCTATGGGTAAATAGCATGAAAGACCGGGTTCTATAGCCTTGAATGACAACTGATCTACGGCAGAAAGAAATAGCAAACTACCGCGGGAAATAATCTGCCTCGTCAGTCATGTATTGAAAGATACATGATTGCCTAACCCTAACCTATCACGCATGGCACATAACTGGCTGATATATAGAGAGAGAAAGAATGCTACTTGTAAACAAACCTCTAAAAAAAGTTATTTCTGAAGAAAGATCGAGGTCGATCTGAAATATCAAATATAAATAAATACTTTCATAAAAAAACATTATTATTTTTTTTAATTTGCAACTTTTAGTTTTTTTTTTCTATATATACATATTAAGAAAGTATACGTGGCTTCTCATTTCTATATATATATATATATATATATATATATATGAAAATTTCTCCGATTTAACCAGTAAAGAAGACAATATTTATGAATATATATATATATAAAAGCGTCCAGCATGAAACAGCCTGTCGCCTCTGAGTGTTCACTTCAATGTTCACTTTTATATTTATATTTACATACGCTCTACCGCTGATATGGAGCACTTTATCCCATAAATATAACACACCTTAAAACTACATTTCTTTATATATATATATATATATATATATATATATATATATATATATATGTGTGTGTGAAAAGTGTATATAAATATAAATAAATATATATATGTATAATTATTTATATATTATATATGGTACTTATTAGAAAGTGCTCAATATCAGTGATAGAGCTAACATATTTAGTTGGAGAGATGTGAGTTTGTGACCCTGGGTTTCACTTTTAGCGATCGTCGACTTGTCTGACGATCGCTAAAAGCGTGAAACCCAGGTCACAAACTCACACATCTATCCAAAAATATATATATATATATATATATATATATATATATATATATTTATATTGATGCATGTTTCATTAAATAAGAAAAAATGCTGCCTAAATACAGACAATTTATATATATATATATATATATATATATATATATATATATATATATATATATATATATATATATATATATATATATATTATTATTATTATTATTATATTACAAACAGTGGATGATTAGTGGTATAATGCTTATAATTATGTCTACTAGTGAAGTGATTTCGCCAATAATTGCATTAATATTGCTAATTGGTTCAAGGTATGATTAACTCTTTGTAATATACTGCCTACTTTATTATGTTCTATATATATATATATATATATATATATATATATATATATATATATGAGAATAAGTTAACACGAATAAAAAATACAGCTCTCGAGAGGAGGTAACCTCAACATTTCCTAGGCAAAAGGAAGCGACAAGCCATTGAATGTTAACTCAACCACAATCGTGAGATGCGGGGGCGGGTCGTGACCACACCGGCGCAAAAGGCACCTACTCAATAGAATAAATGAATGACGAAGTCATAAGTGATCGACTCGAAGCAGTCTGTCATTTTCAATCATTCTGCTGAATTAAAATCGTTTTGTTTCTTCGCCCTCCTTTGTCGCTTAGGGAATCGTTAGAAAGACTTTCGTACATCTTCAGTATTCCTTTTAATATTAGCAATTATTGCATCTTAACCGATGGCGACTGTGTGTGGACGTCTCGTATCCGCTTGGTCCAATGGTAGTCATGAGAGTACAGCAAATGGCGCATATAATCAATGGCTCTTGATTATTAGACCAGGAAAGAAAACGATTGCAATTATCGATTTGCGTTCGGGAGAAGAAAAGTCATGCCATAAAGAAGGACAAAAAAAGAACAGGAAAGGTCAGGTCAGAATGAAGGGATGTAACACTAAAAATGAATTAACAACCA